ATATAAACTCTGAGGAGATTATTTTTTAACTCACATTGTTTTCTAGACATGGAATTATCCATGGTTTTACTGATGATCTTTATAGATTATCTTATAGATAGTTTTAAACTATGAAAAGGTAAGTTTGACTATTTTTCTCCAGATGTGACTAGTTACTAATACATTTTAAAAATTGCTCTGTAGATATCAACCTTTTACTTAGGGCATTAAACACTGTCCTTCACCTGTTTATTGTTGAGTGCATTGCTAATTAGCTATCAAGTATCAGTGAGGATTAATAAAATGTACAGAAATTTTATATCTAAAATAGGTATAAATATCCCCCTGGTGCACGTAATGGATTACTTGGTTTCTGGATGAAGTGTGCTTAAATAATGTCAGCAATTCTACCTAAGAAATTATAATTTTGTGGGGAGTAATAAATATAAAATTAGAAAATCGCTAGTGTACTTCACTAGAGAAAAATTATTAAAGTTAAATTTAAAAAAAAGAAGGTCTGGTATATTTGAGAACTTTAAGAAAAAACGTTCTTGTTTGAGCCCAATTCATTGCATACCCACATCATTAATGAATCTAACCTTGATGATGATGTGTTTGCTTGTCAAGGCCAGCTTGGGGGATTAATGAAACCTAAACCAGAAAGTGTTTCCAGTTTGGCATAGGGAATGTGAGATCGGCTGCTATCTAAGGAGGGATGATATTTATAGGAAGGAATGAAGCAGTGGAGATGGATTCATTTTTAGGAAGACTGGATAGTATTTCTTTAATAATCTCATCCCCACCCCCTCAAATGTGTGGCTTCTGCACATAGATTTTTCTGTCATGAAACACTTAACCCATAATTCTGTTTTTTTCAAACCACCTCACTCTGTTTTCTCTGGATTATATTCTCCACATAAAAATTTATTATTTTGCCACAGTATTTCCAATTTACAGCTGCTTCCTGTTCTAAAGAATTTCATTTCTTCTCAACTGACAGTGTCACTACCCCTCTCTATTTTAATCTTCAGTCTTTATCCATCTGTTCTTCTCTTTTCACATACACAAACACCATCCATCCCCCCATACTCCCTGTATTGCTCTGCCTCTGAGCCACAGCTTTTACAATTGAGATGTTTGATAAATCTGCTACAAATGTAATTTTCTCAGCAAATTATATGATCAAACATCATTAGATGGACAAAGTCCTTTGCTGAAGGATTGATGAATTTATGGGCTTTATTTATATTGTTTTATTTTACTTGAAGAGGGGAACTTTCAGAGTTGAGAAAAAATATAGTTTACCTGTATAAAATAATACAGCATACCCTTTCATTCCCAAAAAGCCATAGCCAAGTCACTTTCATAAAAATAAGTTAAACTGAGAGGTTTTTTTTGAAAAATGCAAACACTGGAAAGTTTTTTGCAGTGACAGTAAGGTCCTCAAAGGAGGGTGAGAAAGTGCATATATTTAATCATTGTTTAGCAAGAGTAGCACCTTCTCAAGCCCTCAAGAAAGAAGATTGCATGATGAAGCACAATTTCTCTAACTTCTCAAATCTAGACTTCATTTGTTAAATGCTATGTATTATTATTATTATTACAAGAAAACAGATAATATCACCAAAGAGAAATAGATGAGTTATTTTATTTAACTCAGTCTTATCAATTTATTTTTCTATGGAAATACCACTCAGTACACCTCATTATAAAGAAGAAATACAAGCTTTTGTGGTAGCTATGGAATTACCCTATGCCGTGACATTATGTGTTTTGCCTGTATAAACTGTATTTTACCCCTGGCTTTGGCCCATTTTTCTGAAATAGGGTCACTTTACATAGCTCTTTACTTAGGGACTTTAAAAATTATCTTCCAGTGACAATTGATAATATAAAGCTATTGTTATAGTACTACATAACAGTTATGGAATGATTTTTTTTCTCTCCCATTGTATATGTGCTACTCAATTATTTAGTAACAACCTCACAATGAGCCACTTGTTTCATGGTGGATAAAGATAGCACTGTTATTTCAACCTTAAGACTCCAGTGAAAATAAATAATTTGGTCCCATTTAGTGTTTTCGTTGGAATAATTCTCAGAAGAATGAGGCATAATGTTAACAGCATTTTAGTTATGAAAGCCTATAAACTTCAAACACTTCATAACTTTGAACTTTAACCTTTTCATATTCTGCATTTTCATTGGCTGCATGTGTAACTTTTGCACCAAGGCTATAGAAGTTGTAAACAGTGAAAAATAGAAATGGCTAATGAATCATACTGTAGACATGTAAAAGGTCAATGTTGTACAGTTTATTATTGTCTTCTAGAGAATATATAGGACATTAAAATTCTGATGCTACAGTCTCGTGACAAAGAATATAATGAGAACTAGAAATAATAAACAGAATAACATGAATCTTCTTGTGACGATGATTAGAGCTTTGAATAGGAAATACTTAGCCAATTACCATGATTACCAGAAAAAAGGATGACTTGTTGATGTTCAGCTTTCTCTTTTGTGGCTAGACTCTATTTAAGCCACAGAGAATAAAATAAATAATATATATTCAAGAGTGTTGAATACATTGCTTTATGAGCGCTTTCCAAGATAAATAGCATGTTATGGTATAGGATTAATATGGCTCATAGTCTACCAGAACAATTCTAAAATAGCAACTTTACTGTGACTCATTTATTTAAAAACAGATGTTTTTCTATCATTGAGGACACTGCCATGTGTGATAACAAGCTAATACAGTAATCCATGCAGAAGCTATGTATAAACAAAAATATTTGCATTACATTTGCATTTAGCAGCATGATTCCAGCCTTATTTGATACTTGCATCCATTTAAACTGGCTATATAGCACAGAACTCTTCATAAACTAAAGAAAATGTATTTATCCTGCATCTTAGACATATAAATAAAACTTCAGTGCCTCAATTTGCTAATAGGTAGTCATTATTGTTTACTATTGGTGTTCAGTGTTTAGACATGACATAGAAATAAAAACACAGGGTGAGAAAAGAGAAAAGAGAGTTGAAAAGGAGCCAATTGTATTGATGTCACTTGCTTGTTTTAGTGAATTTGTCATGTATTTCTTTAATTAATTGTAAGTTAAGTTTTTCTGAGTGTTGATCTGAGCTACTTATTTTCTTTGAGAGGAAAATGAATCTTGTCCTGCTTTCACTTACCCCACCTTTTGGCAACTCTCTAGAGATACAGCACTACTATTGACATGATGACTTGATTTCGTGTCAAAATATCTTTAAACATCTGACTCAAAAGATATTTTTGATGACTATAAGAATGCCCAACTTCTCTGTTCATAAGGATTAAACTTCAATAAATATTTAGTACACTGGGACTAAGCTACCTCGTCATGAGCAGCTGTACAAAGATTTGCTGAATACTTCTGTTTCATCCACCACAGTGAATTGATGGAATTATGCCAGCTTCAGGACATACACAGGGTGAAAGGAATTTTATCAGGCACTATCCAGATGTTTCTGCTAAACCTTAGAATACCACCTGTACATTTTAGAATGACTTATTATAAAACAAATAAAAGAAACTTGATGAATCTATGTGTCCTTCTAACCAGAATAGCAAATGACTCTTTTTTGGTGCTGAAAATTCATTATTGGTTTTTGTCTCGGGCATGTTTTTCAGCCTCTATCTAACTGGATATATCACCTACTCTATCAGCACTGAATATTAAAAATGCTTATTTGAAGAAGTGTCCTTTTCAGACATTTCTAGTTGATTGGTTGTTCATGTACAATAGCACTATGTTTTAGGGCATTTTACTATATAGTGAATTGTTATACAGCTGTCAAAATGTACATCCCTTCATACTGCATGCAGCATCCTTATTTTCTTTAATTGAAATTTTAAAAGATCCCATCTGAACATTTTGATAATCTCTCAGAACCGTCATTATAATGGCAAAATTAGGAGAAGTGCAAACACAGCAGTATCTGAGAAAAATATTTCCATGTGAGTAAAGTATTTTCATTTGCACTTCAAAGTTCTGAGCATATAGTGATATGGTTTGGCAGTGTCCGCACCCAAATTCATCTTGAATAGTAGTTTCCATAATCCCCATGTGTCTGTTGTTAAAGGGATCCGCTGGGAGGTAATTGAATCATCAGGGCAGTTATCTTTATGCTGTTCTCATGATAATGAGTGAGTTCTTACAAAATCTGTCAATTTTATAAGTGGCTCCTCCACATCTTCCCTCTGCACTTTTCTCTCATGCTGCCATTTGAAGAAGTATGTGTTTGCTTCCCCTTCTGCCCTAATTGAAATTTTCCTGAGGCCTCCCCAGCCATGTGGAACTGTAAGTCAGTTACACCTCTTTCCTTTATAAATTACCCAGTCTTGAGTATGTCCTTATTAGCAGTGTGGGAATGGGCTAATACATATAGTGAGCTCTTTGTTCAGACAAAGGGTGAAAGGATCAGTCCTGTTCCACCTTGATTTTGGACTCTTAATGAGCCAGAGCTATATATACTATGTAATTAGCAACAAGAAAAAGTTGAAACACAAACACCAGTTCGTGTTTAAGCAGTGGTAAAAGAATACTCTTCCATCTTCCTTCCTCCTTCTTTCCTGACTTTTCAACCTGGTTCTGCCTATGAGTGCTAAATGTTGGCTCTATTGCTCTCACCTCAATCTCATCTAGCTTCTTTTACTGTTTGTGCATGTTTTCTCTATGGTCTGGGCTTCGGGCTCCCTTTATGGACCTTATCTTAATTCAGCCATCAAACTGCGAGCACCCCTTATATCCTTGGGCAAACAGAGATTCCCCAACCTAGCCTTGGCCTAGGAAGAACCTAACCACCCTCCCCAGTGACTGCAAGATAATTCAATAGAGAGTAGTAACAGTCATTTAACTAAGCTATTTAGTAAACACTGACAGGTTTGTTTCTGTTTTAATTACCTTAAAGATAGAACACAAAATCCAAGGCTTTGGTTCCTGGGGTGGTATTTTGAGAAATAATTTACAAGGTTTCAAACTTCACATTCTTTATTAAATCTCCAGTATGTAGGGCACATTAGTGCTAAACAGAGTGTGGGAGGGTACAAGGTGTCAAATGTAAAAGCATACATGAATAACTTTCACCTCTTTCGAAAATCCTTTTTTCCTCCTTTTATTAATTTTCGCCATCAGCTGTGCTCTCTGGTGGGTGATGCAGGAGTTGGCATTCCCGCAGAATGGAAATGGGCAAAATAAGAAGGCAGTGGAGGACAAATATCAGAGGAGGAGCAAAAGGAATAGGCATAGTGAGAAATGGATTGAAAATTGGAGGTCGAGGAGGGATGAAGCAATGAGCAGTAGAACAAGAAGGTAAACCTGGAGTACTGGAAGACAACGGGATAGGCCTTGGCCAATTATGCATGGGGTGGCATGGGCCCCTGAGTGGAAAAGAAACATGAGCCAGCTTTCCCCTGCAGGCTATTCGTGTATTTCCAGGAGGCACCTCCATTACTATCCCTGATCTAAGGGTGGGAATATGTGAAGGGCCTCTCACTTGTGGGCACCTGGGTGCAAAAAACCCTTTACCTCGTGGCAAAGCCACATGCAACCTTGCATTATTACTACCTCTCTCAGTGCCTCCATTGTTGACATTTGTGCCCCCTCCTATCATTGCAGGAGGACCACCAGAGACTTCCCAGGACACATTAATAGCATCCTGTCCCTCCTGCCTCCAGCCTGCCAGTGCATCCGAGCTATTTACTTCTGCTGTTGCTAGGGACTCTTCTGCAACAGCAGGTGGTGGACCATAGGGGTGTATGAGAGCTCTCAAACTATGAACAGGAATGCAGGATCCTGTTCTCTCAGAGGGGCACTCCAGTTGCTCTCTAGCCAGATCAGTCAGCACATTGACGGAAGGTCTCAGCGGTACTTGAGTTTGACCCCAGGGCTCTGCGTCATCCTCCAGCTTGGAACTCAGACATTGCAGGGGCATGTCGTGGTGCAGCTCCTGGTTCCCATTTTTGTCCACAGCTACTATCATGGGTGAGGGAGCGTGCCCTCCAAGGCTGGCAAAAACAGAAATCAAAGAGCTAATAAAAATGGAAATGTGGTAACCAGAAAATAGCTAAAATATATAATTGACTGAGCTCACTGAAATATACCAGGGGAAAAAAGTGCCCTCTCTCTTACATGTAGCCAAATACTTGCTCAGTCCACTGGCCTTTTCCCAGGTGGCTTCTTTAGTGCTAGGCTACATGATTGCCCCTCGTGACTACCCAGTGGCCTATTTCATTCCTCATTTCTTCACCTCTACAAGACAGCAAGAAAGCCTAGAAGACCCACATAGCTTAATAGTAAACATATAATAGAAAATACTAGCTTTTCCAAGTCCCTCTAGAATCTATGATTCACTAATCCTGGCATTCAGATTCTGGCAAGATTGTTCTGGAATGTCTTCTGAGGTAAAATATATTTTTCTTCATATAAGTCAAAGAAAAGTTATGTTAATAAACATATAAGTTTCTCTTCCTAAGGCATCATTCAACACTCACACCAAATTTTGTTACAGATTCCTTTCATTCAACCAATACCACACCCTAGAGTAAGAAGTTCCTCATGTTTAAACTCCACTGTTAAGACTAGGGATTTGCCAATTTTCTTTCAAAATACAATTCAAAGTGGCCATTCTTAAATCCAGTATTCTTCATAACTAAATTTGTATCCTTCAAGTTTTTGTCTGCAATTTCCTCCCACATCCCCTCCAACCTACTCATCCCTGTCCCAGTTACACAATAAAGCAATTCAAACTGACTTTGCCTTCCAAATTAAACAGTTGTACTCGGTTTTGTACTTACACATTTTCAATACAAGCCATGAAGAAATTTGATCAGGATATCTTTCGTGAGGTGATGGAAACAACCAGCTGAACACCCACACAGGCCAGCCCAGTCTGGAGAAATGACTCCTGCTTCTGCCTTAGAGGCTTGGCACTCGAATGAAGGCAGGGACCAACTGCTTCTTTCTAGATTTGGAGTTCTCTTTCTGAGGTTATCAGTTGCTAGGGAAGGGCGGGAGAAAGGAGTGGGGAGGGTGGTGGGTGGGGATGGATCTGTGACACTCCTTTGAACTTAAATGTGGGACTGGTGTTTGCACAGTAGTAGATGGGTGGTAAAGGAATTCACTGCATTAATTCTAATGCAGGGCAGTGGAAAGAAGAATCATTTCAAGAAGGATTAGAATCATGGAAGCATGATATTTTTTAAATAGTTACTTCTGAAGTTTTATTATAAAAGGTAGTTGTCAAGTCTCCTCAAATTTGAAAACACTTTGAGCAGAGTACTGTGCCTAATCTTGTAATTTAAACTTCCAATTTGGGAGATGCATGTTATTAATTGGTGGGGAGCAGAGGTTTGGGGGATAAATGGCTTTTCTATCTGTGAAGATGAAACAAGAACTCCTCTAAGAATCATTGTGACATTATTTTTTAACCCCTTCCATTGTAGTTATTTCCTTCATCTTGCCTATTAATTTATAAGCTCTCTCTATCTCTTCGCTTCTCTCTCTCTCTCATCTCATCTCTCTCTCTCTCTCTCTCTCTCTCTCTCTCTCTCTGTGTGTGTGTGTGTGTGTGTGTGTGTGTGTGTGTGTGTGTGTGTTTATTTTCTGTAATAGAGCATTGGAAATTTCTCTCAGGTGAGGAGGGTCAGAATAAAAGGCATAACAGGTGTCATAAATTTATAAATATTAGCTCAGATTTGGCCTTCTAACTGTTTTTGCATAGGGCGCTTTCTGTTTTTCCATCCTAAATTTCATCTACCTCCCTCACTTTAAGAAAGTGTACTTTCCCAGCTTTCTTTTCTGACATTGATCTACAGATTCATTGCACTGATATTACAATGGCCATCCCCTTATCCAAGATCACCAATGCTCTAGGATAAAGCCATAAACCTGGCACACCTGCCTAAATTTACATAAGATTTGTGCTCTGCCGGCTAGACCTTGTAGATGGTGTCTTCCTTATTTTCAATATTAGCATATGCTGCTACAGTTCAACAGTAATGTGTATTTCATTTCTTTTAAGGAAAGATAACAGACTCAAACACCATGTGCTTCAATTTTTAGGTATGTGGTATCTGTGTATTTGTGTATGAGAGAGAGAGAGAGAGAGAGAGAGAGAAAGAGAGAGAGGAGAGAGAGAGAGAGAGAGAGAGAGAGAGAGAGAGAGAGAGAGAGAGAGAGAAAGAAAGAAAGAATAATACATAAGTACAGGGTACTATTGTAAATGAACGTTCAGTACTGCAAATCAACACAACTCATATAGAAGTGACTTTTTGGGTATCCAGATCCACATCTTCCTGTTAGAGTGTGTTGTCTCCATCTATACAAGAAAGTGGCATGTTTCCATCACATTTCCCAGAAGAATCTGTTCACTTGCCTAGCATGGTTTACTAGTAAGTCATCTCTTGATTGTCCAGGTCCTGTTTCTATTCTTGCTTCAGTTTATTCTGCACCTTGTCCTTATGTTAAAAAATTGTATTATTAGCAATATTATTGTTGTGGAGTGTTAAAGCTCTTTTAGTGCTTGCTGTATCAGAAGGGAAATCGCAACTTGGGTAAATGCCTGCTAATAGCTGGTGAATCACATTTAGATAAATAGTTCCAGTATAATAGTTGCATATTTCTTTCCTGATAATAGCAATGAAGCCTTCTGTTCTTATCAAATAATAATAATAATATATTTTTACCTAGAAATACCTGTTTGGTAAGATATCATCTTACTTGGTTTATATGGAATACAATGTAATATAGGAACCAAATTGCTGGGAACAATGACAATGACCATGGCACCAAGAATTTTCCAAAGCCATGAAGTGTATAATTTATGGATATTAGCTCATAATTTGTTTTTAACTTTTTTCCTTTGTGCAAATAGTGCATATTTATCCAATGCCTACAGTATACATTCACTATTGTATTAAGTGTTGATTTTACTAAAAAAGTTAAATACACAATCCATATGGACTTCAAGGAATGTTCTAATTTTCTAGGGAGGTGAAATAACATCTATAAAATTATTGAAGAATGGCATAAAAAATAGACACAAACCATTAGCTGGCTAGTATAAGCTAAGACCACAGTGGAAATTCAGAAGAAGGAACTATGATTGTGGGTTAAAGTAGTCATGACACAGTTTATGTGGGATTAAATTTCAGCTGTGTTTTGAGAAATGGATACATATACATGGAAATAAAAGGAGATGTCATTCAATGGGAAGAACAATTATCAAGGTAAGAATAAAGAGTAAACTTTGGAATTATGTAGTTCTTATTTCAAATCAAAACTATGCCTCATATTTGGCAGAAATAGAAATATAAGGTACCAATTAGACTCCCCAGAGATAGAGATCAACCAGATAATTCATGAAGTTTTACCCATAAATAAATATTTGAAGACATTCAAATTTCAAAGTTACAGAAAACTATCTCAAAACCTACCTCTTGACAAAAAGCTATCGGGCTAACTCAACCATCCATTGAGCATTGAAAATACAGTAATAAAATATATACCTTTTTCTTTAATTAATTTAAATAACAGTTTGGGGGAGAGAAACATGGGTAATGAAAGTTGAAGATTTGCCAAAAAACAGCTTAGTTGGCAAAGCAGCTGTCTTAGTCCATCTTCTGCTGCTATAATATTTCTTAAAACTGGGTAATCTGCAAACAAAAGAAATCTATTTTCACAGTTTTGGAGGATGGAAAGTCCAGTATCAAGGAACTGACTTCTGGCAAGGGCCTTCTTGCTGTGTCATCCCACAAAAAAAGGTCGAAGCAAAAGGGAGTAAAAGAGAGCAAGCAAGAGATGGTCAAATTCACTTTCATATAAACCCACTTAGCAATACAAACTCACTACTGCCTTATCAACATCAGTCTATTCATGAGGGTGGAGACTTTGTGATCCAATTTTGTATTAGTAATCTCACCTCGTAATACCGTCATAATGGCAATTAAATTTCAACATGAGTTTTGAAGGGGATCTTCAAATCATAGCAGTAGCTAAGCTATAAAGGCCTTCCATTACCCCTAGTTTCTTTATGCATGACATAGTTCCAGACATCATTCATGTACCTCTCAAAAAATTTTGGTGACTATATTGAAATGCTTAGTAAGATCTGTAGAAACATATATTTACTTTTGCATAGCAATTATGACTTTAATAGAAATGCGATTGTTGGGCATGGTGGCATGCACATGTAATCCCAGCTACTCAGGAGGCTGAGGCGGGAAGATGGATTGAGTCCAGTGGTTGTAAACCAGCATGGGCAATATAATGAAACCAAATATCAAATTGAAAAAAAATTGTGATTGATCTACCAAAATTATGTTGCTGTGTGTTTTTTAAAATAAGTTTTGCAGATGTGAAAAGAAGGCAAAGTATCATTTAAAATACATCCTTTCTTTTTTTGCTTCAGGTAAGAATTCAGGATATAAAGACATGAGAATGAATTTCTCTGTTTCCATCTAGCTTATAAAGAAATTGTCATGTTGATCTCGGGGTAGACAGTCATCAGAAAATACTACCCATTTGCTCACTTTCAAGTGATATAGCTATGCCTGTGAAAAACTCTCTAAGTTTATGATGTCCAAAAAGTGCTTCTAGAGTATATAACAGGTTTTTGAGGAGTCTATAGCTATTAATCCCATGTATTAAAGCATGAGAATCATGGAAATATGATACTTTCCCAAAATGGGCCAAGCAGCATTATTCTATTACACAGCTATAGGCAGTAGTCCTGTCTTCTCCACCACCAGCTGTCCTGCAAACTCTGTGTGGTAATTGATGAGAACGAACAGGTGAGAGTGTGGCTATTTCACCACTAGTACTGGCAAAAGCAAATAACAATATATGCTTCACTGCTGGATCTAGCTATATGATTCAATAGACTATTATTACTTTTACAGAGTATTTTGTTTCAGATTTAAATATTTACATATTTGTATTAAAACAGGTCACATGGCAATTACTTCCCAACCGGTTATTTCTTCATACAAATCAGAAGCTATCAGAAGTTTCCTCAACATATCTTACACATTTTTCTTGCTCTCATGGGGGTCAGAGCCAGAAATTAACTAGCAGCAGGGCAAGTGAGATGAGAATAAAAAAAAGCAAGAAGTAAAAGAAAATCAACTTACTATATACCCAACATTTGATATACATTGTCTCATTTAATGGTCACAACAAGCTGTTAAAGCAGATATTATTATTATGCTGATTTTATACATGAGGAAGGAAGGAGTCGGAGAAGTTAAGTAGAACTTTCCCTGGTCCAAAAACTAGTAAATGACAAACAATATTCACATACAACCAATTTGACACCAAAGACAATATTTCATTCATTAACCATGTGGCCTCCAAATTATAGTTCTAGGTCAATCACAAAAGTAGATCAGATAAAAGCATGTGTACCAAATCTGAGTTTAGTTTTGTTTTAATGCATGGACTCATTGACACTCATCCAGAGGTAGTTCTGCAATAAAGAAATCATCCAAGCTGTAATGCTCACATCCCAGAAAGTCTGCTTCTGCAGGGATGCAGCAAGTGTTTGAAGTATTAGTTAATAATATAGCAATATGGTGACGACTGAAAACACTGTCATGGAGCAATGGGGGTGGGTGACAGATAATAGGAATTGGTTATAAGACAGCACCAAGTGACCATTTACTGAGGAACTAATAACAGTATGAGCCCAGAATTATCAATATTAAGATTTAATTAATGTTGAGCTCTTAAGCTGCACATATAGAACATACAGGATTTCTCATATTATTTCCATGATTGTGTGTGTGTGTGTGTGTGTGTGGTGAAATGGGGGCAGAGCTTGAGTCATCCAAGTGAGGTATTAATGATAACCCTGGAGAATACCATTCTGAATTAGAGAAATATATAAACATTAAAAAATAAAACAATGTTCATGTTCATATATGGCAAATAATATAAATTAAGATGCAACATTAAGTAACAAGTAAATGACAAGA